AAATTTAGCTTCCAGTGACATTCTGGATATTCAGTTATGAGGGCGGAAGCAGAAGCGGTGAAGGAAGACATGCCCAGCCCGCAGGTACTGGCTCAGCCGGAGCTCTGGGAGTTGCGCTTCCAGGGCATGCCCTAGAAATGATCTAGAACTTGCAGACCATTCTGCCATTCTGTTGCTCCACCTGGCCACCCTTAGGTCTCCTCTCCTTACCACATTCACTCACTCCCCTTGTCATGATTCTGCTTCCAAGCATTTCTTGAACTCAGCCCTGCCCCTCATCCTCTGGCTCCCTGCTGCAGTCAGGTGCACAACCTCAACAGCCCCTGCCCCTTCCTCTCAACACCTATGCTGCCAGGAGCTAGGCAGTCTCATAAACCAGCTCACAAACCTCTGGAGAATGGACCACTTAACTAGCCATTCAATAGGAACAGAGCTCACTGTTGGTGAGTGGACACTGGTATAGCCTCTAGTACCCATCTAAGACAGATATGCCAAATTCAAGGAATTTATCCTATGCTCTAAGTGTGAAAGAGCAAATGTACAAGGAGATTAAGTATGTAATAGCCAAAGATGGACATAACCCGAATGGTAAGCGGAGGACTCTAAAGCAGGGGTTCTCACACTTGAGCATGATCCGAATCAGCAGGCTTGTGAAAAGAGGTTGCTGGGCCCACCCTGAGCTTCTGACTCAGATTTTGCATTCCACCAAGTTCCCAGATGATGCTGATGCAGCTGCTCCAGGGCCAACACTTTGAGAACCACAGCTCTAAACAAACTATGGGGCCTAGGTGGGACACCACACAGTTGTCAAGACGACCACTCCATGGCTGACATATTTGACACTCAATATATATATTCAGTGAAAAAAGCAAGATGCAAATACACAACAAAATATGTTTTATCAAAAATAGGGGGGAAGGGCCTCCCTTGTGGCACAAGGGGTTAAGACGCAACCTATGAAGCTATCTAAAGCCTCTGCAGCATGAGTTCGATCCCTGGCCAGGGAGCTACCCACATGGTGCAGCAGACCTCTCCTGACTTGCCCGCTGTTCCTCTCAGCAGTGTATTTCAGTCAATCTGCCTGTTCTGTTTCCCACTCTGTCTCTGGTGAATCCTCTCACCCCTCACACCTCTGCCCTGTATCCCAGTTCTTGTATGCATAAATAAATAAATCTTTAAAAAAATAGTAGGGAAGCAAATTTATTTACTTGTAAAGGCCTAGAATCTCTTTGAATGTATAACCAAGAAACAGGGAACAGAAGCTGCGTCTGAGGAGGGAAATGGGCAGCTGAGTGGGTGGGAGACTTTTGCTGTGCCCCTCTCACCCCCGACCAGTTCTGTCCCATAGACATGTGTTACCCAGCTTCCTCACCATAAAACATGATAGGTCTACAAGTACTGACATAAGAAAATGACCAAGACACATTGTCAATGAAAAAAAAAAAAATCAAGTTGCAGAGTAATACGTACTATGTAACCCCATCAAAAACTTGTACACGGAAGTACATACAGGCATATTTGTGTTTGCATATATACAGAAAATGTTATGGAAAGTTACAGGCCAAACAGGTAATGCAATTACTTCTAATGACTAGTACACTGAGGATTTTGCTTTTACTTCAGCATTGCTAGAGTTTTTGCCATACATGCAAGTGTGTAGTAATTTTCTAACTATGAAGGTGAATCATTGTCTTCAGGATTCTGTACCTCAGGAAGGCTCCATCTGCCTTCCCCTTCCCTGCCCACTCCCCAGCATCTTGTCACCACTCCTAAGACCTTCTGTTGGGCTCCCATCACATTACTCACTGCCTCCCAGACCACACCCTCTGGACCCAAGTCTCCCTCTTCCTTTTCTGCCTGCTGAATGCTCACCTGTCCACACAGACAACTGCTGCCTCCTCTAGCGGCACATCAGAACTCAGTTTAGCGGGCTGCCCACACAACTGCTTCTTGGTGACTGAGCTGTCATGGCAGGGTTTGACCTGGCACCTTTGGGACCCAGTTCAGGGCCTGCCACAGAGCAGAGGCATGACAAGTTAACTGAGGGACTCCTCTAAGTTACAGGTCAAGGGCCCCTGAAGCCATCTGACGTGCAGCACGAGCTGGGATTTACCCTCTTCTGGGAAGCAGGTGTCTGACAGGGATGGGCACTGCTGGAAGACTGTTCCTCCGAAGGCTGCTTCTTCCAGACCTGCTCCTGGACAGTCCACCTTCTCCTGCCACCATTTCACAACCCCGTCCCGCCTGTTAGGGCAGTTTGGCCCCAAGGAAAATTCTGTTCTCACTTGCCGTCTCTCGGCTGGCTTTTGGGGTCTGACATGAGCAGGAAACCAAAACTGCTAGGCTCCCAACCAACTTCTCTTGCCTTGCCAAATGACCAGGGAAGAAAAAGGGAATCATATGGCTTTCCCCAGGCCAATACGCCACTTGTGTGAGTCTGCAGAGGCAGCTGCATCAAGGAGAGAGTCCTGGCCAGGGTTAGAGACACCAGGTTCCGCCCCTAATCGACAGAGTGATCTTGAGAAGTCATTCCTTTGACCCTCAGTTTTTTCTCTGTACAATGGGAGAGTAATTAAACTAGTTCTGCCTGTTGCACTTAATGGCTGTGAGAATCAAAGAGGGTAAAGGTTTTGGAAACTTTAGAATATCCTGGTTCTAGGTGGTGGGAAGCTACTAAGGGTGTCTGCTCCATGCAGTTGTCCAGCCTCAGCCTGCAGGTGCTCGGCTGAGGTATTTAGAAGCTACCATGGGTCTAAAGCTCTTCTGCCCATACCCTCTGCTCCAGCCACATCAGACTTTCCACCATCTCCTGAACTGCCTTATACCTCTAATTTCCTCCTGGCTGAGACTCTACATCAAGGCTCAAGTCCTCCTCCAGCACCAAGCCTTCTCCCCTGCCCCAGGTGCACTCCCTCTCTCATCCTAAACTCTGCAGCACTACACAGATCTATATACACAGATCTAGTTATTCCTCCTTCATCCAGTCCCCCAAACTCCTAGGTGACAGAGTTCTGACTCACTTGGTAGCATCCCCTCACCAGAGACAACAGTGGAGTTTCAGGAAATTCTGTTTCCTGGAAGATGTTTTCTGAAGGGGTCAGTGATCTGCATGTGGAAAGCACCAAGGGGAATTACTTAATTTGGGGAACCCCTCAGATCAAACTGCCAGTCTTATAACCATGCTGCCCTTCACCTCCTTTGTCCTGATGTATTTCAGAGCTTCTCCTTGCACCAAGTGATAGTCCAAAGGGCATGGTAGGGAGGCTTATAGTCAACTGATTTCTGCCTAGATGAGGCAGAGCAGAAAGACAAATGGGGTCACCTAAGTCCTGCATGACCACGCCCCTTCGTGTGCGACCACAGATCCAATAGCAGAGTCTCGAATTCTGGGGAAGGAACGTGGCAGGCTTCAGTCACTGCTCAAATTGGTTAAAGTTTCAAGAACCTGGGGCCTCCCCGGTGGCGAAGCGGTTGAGCGCTGGGTTGAGAAGCTGCCCGTGGCCTCTGCGGCGCCGGTTCGATCCCCGGCTGCTCCCGGCCACCGGAGGAGGGTCCCGCATGGCGCGCAGACCTCTCCTGCCGCCCGCTGTTCCCCTCAGCAGTGTACTTCGGTCCTTCTGCCTGCTCTGCTCCCCGTTCTGGCTCTGGTGAATTCTCTCACCCTCCCGCGCTTCTGACTGTACCCAGTGCATGTATAAACAAAACAAACAAACAAACAAACAAATAAATAAATAACATGCCTCTATATATATAAAAAAAAAAATCTATAAAAAAAAAAAAAGTTTCAAGAACCTGGGCTGGGGCAGTTTCAAAAGTGGCAGCTGCTCTGTGGGCTTGCCCGCCCTGGGTAAGACAGCTTCCTCTTAGGTTCAACATCAGGTCTGGTTGGGGGAGGAGCAGCAGGGAGCTGCAGATCAGGAGACTGTGAGCAGAGAGGGTGCTGCAAAGTGAGAAGTCATTGGTACAAGGGAAAAGAGAGTGGTGGTGGAAACGAAGTCAGGAGGTAGAATGTGCTGGGGTCCTCTAAGGTGGCCAGCGGTTGAGGAAGGCCAGGGCTAGGGTTGGCCCAGTCTCTAAGAGTGGCCAAGAGCAGCTCAGTTACTGGGTGGATAGGTCCAAATTGGTGGAAGGACAGTCTTGGGGGCAGAGGGGAAAAGTTTCTTTGAGGCCGGGTAAGGATCTGGGGTGAAACAAGGTCTGGGTTTAGCTGAGGGCAGGTGCAAAGCTGGCTGGTAGCAAGGAAGAAACCAGCAAAACTAGCGGTCTATATTTGGTTAAAAAGAGAGGCACCGGATGCCAGGTCTTAAGGTCTGGCCAATTGGGAGTGGTTCCAGAAAGTGATACAGAAAACTGGGAGCTGTTCCTGGGTTAATTTTTTTGAGGGAAGGGCAAGGGCCTGATCTGGGGCTTCTGGGAAGGCACATCTGGGTCACAGATTCCAGTTAAATAGGTGTCAGTCTATGAATGGGCCTGGATGCTAGAATTTGGCCTGGGGTAGGTGAGGCAGGTTTCCCTACTGACAGATGACAGGAGATTGTACCATTCAGGCCTTCTCAGGACCAGTGTTCCATCAGGTTCAAAGTGGGGGTCGATCTAGCGCCCCAGATGAAATGGGGTTACTGCCCCCAGATAAGATGGGGTGACTGTCCCAGAACAGTTAGGGTTCGAATCTCAGTGCGAGGGCTGAATGACCCATGAGTGTTCCGGGCATGCAGCACAGAGGCGGCAATGTGTTGGGGTCCGAGTAGGGGTAGAAACCAGTCTCTACTCAGGAAGGTATCAACACCCGGCTCGCAGATCGGTGCCCAGATCCCGAGGCACCTAAGGCGAGCCCTGGGATGTGGGTCCGGGGTGGGGAGGAGGTGGTGCTGAATGCCGGGAGGGTCAGTGTCCGGGAAGAGGAGGTGTCTGTCCCGTTTAGGGCGGACGGAGCCGGGCCCGAGCGGCAGCCGCGTCTCGGGTGGCAGGGGACAGGCGCTGGGTTAGGCCGCTACCCCTACCTTGCCGCGGGCGCAGCGCACTGAACGCAGGGCGCCGAAGAAGATGGGCAGCAGCGCCATGAGCAGGAGGCTGCCGTAGGCCAGCGCGATGCCCTCGGGCGTGGACGGCGGGCGCGTCGTGCCGTTGGCCGGGCCGCTCGCCTCGGCGCTGCCGTTGTGCGGGTCGCTGAGGGCCGAATCCATGGTGAGGCTGCGCTCGGGTCCGACTCCGGTTCCGGCCGCTGCAGCACAGACGCGCAGAGGAAGTGGAGCGCAGCGGGGAAAGCCACGTTCCTCTAAAGAAACAGGAAGTGACGTGCCTCCCTCGCCGGCCCGCGCCGCTCGCGCGTTCGCGCCCCCCCGCCCGCACGCCCTCTAGCGGGAGCTTGGGGGGGTGTCCCGGGCCGCTGGTTGCTAAGCAACTAGGAGCGGTCGGAAAGGACCGCGGGAATCCTGAGGTGGTCATTGATCCCGAGGGGCCCGAGGACCCCGACCCCAGTGCCAGACGACGTCCTCCATCCCACCCAGGCCGTCCCATCTCCACAGAGTCTCATCCTAAGAACTCAGATTTTGTTTATTCATGCATGTTATCCATCCCGTAGTCAATCTTTCCTTCTCTCCTGACATATTTGCGTATCCCATTATGTGCCAGGCACTGTGTTAGGTTCTGGAGACACTGAGGCGAACAATACACGCAGAAGCCCATCCCTGCCCTCAGTGCAGTGGGATGGAGGGAGTTGTGGAGACAACAAATAAAACGAGGGGGGGAGTCTTTAGCATATTAATGGAGATAAATAATCTAGAGAGACCTCTGTCCCTAAAATGTGACATGGCCAGGTGTTCCAGACAGTTCAGAGGACGATGGTCAAGTGGCTGATGCCATGGATGACCAACCTTGTGGGGCTCCTGGGGAAAGTGTGTCCACAGGTGAGTAGAAAGTGTGGCTAGGGGCGACCTGGATGTGGGTGCAGCCCCAAATTGTTTGGGCTCCTGGCTATGCTACTACTTCTCTAGTTAAGATCTGGAGAAAGCATGTGATAGACAATGAAAATTGCACCTGACAGGTATCTAGTACTGGAGATACTTTGGGTCAAGCACTGTATAAAAAAAGTGTGTCCTCCGGAAATCCAGCAAGAGACAACCTGGAACCAGCAAGGAAATATGAATTCTCCTCCAGAGTCTCTCTAGTATAGTCTACTGAAAAGGCTTAGTTTATGTCAGCTGGCAAAGGAAGACTATAAGGTCCAGCTCAATTATTACAGCAGGCAAAAAAGAGTGAATTTAGAGCTGGAGATAAGTCTACTAAAGACACAGATAGTATAAAATTAGGTGGTCTGGTACAAGATTGACAGGTGGTGTGGGGGGATCAGAGCATGGAGTTCATGGTGAGGGGAGATAATGGCCAGTGTCAGACTCTAAAAGTTTGAATAGAGCTGCTTGCCTAGTGCATGCCAGGTATTGTGCTACAATGTTTCACAGATGAGGAAACTGAATCTCATAGAGGTAAACTAGTCACTTCAGCAGTGAAAGATGAGGGCCTTGGACTCTGGTCTGTAGGACTCCAAAGACTGTGCTCTTTCCAACATTCCAGCTACACAGAAGGCTAAAGGGTTTGGATCCGAGTAAGTTAGTTCTGGGAAGATGGTGTACAGTTTCAGGCTCTGTTTTTTCAATAAGCTGGATATGACCTAAGTGGATAGGAAGACGGTGTGTCTGATGAATTCATCCATCAATAATTCAAACCCCAGGATTTTCCCAGAAACTGGCTATTATAAATCTGAGCCTCCTCATCTGAGAGCAAACTGGCAATAGGAGATATTCCTGCTTCCTGCTAGGTTGAGCACTTGACTTAGTTTGTCTCAGGGCAGATCTGGCCATCTTCTTGAATACTCCAGAGTGAGAGATTGTGAAAATGACCCAGAGAACTGACGGGTTGACCCAAGTTCAGAAAGCGCTGTCAACACTTTTGGAGGGTTCAATTTCTGGCTAAAAACTGACCTGTCTTGATATTCCCCAGAGACTGGGATGAGATAATCTGAGGGCGGGGGCCCAAGGCTCCACTGGGTGAAAGCTCCTTTATAGGGTAACTTTTCCAGGGGTGAGCTGAACTAAGGACTTGTTTAGAGTGTGGGATCGTTACATTACCAAATATGTGTTCCTAAGTAAGATGCAGCCCTTTTCACTTATTACTGGATTTGGTCATTGTGAATGAATTTCGTAGTTCCCCATTTTTCCACTCACATCTGCTCACACATGTGTACACAGACACTATTAAATATTTAAATAATGAAGATAACGAACAAGGATCATCAAGGTTGCCAATGCTATTGAAAGAACATGATGTTCACATGGTCTTAGTTACCCCACAGATGACTTATTAGTTATCATGAGTAAAACTTTCCTTTACCATGGAATGATCTGGTGGATACTCCCTTAACCAAGTGATCACACTTAGCATCACCAAACAAGAAGGGACAGACTGACAAGATATGATGCAATGTGAGGGACACATCACCTGTGTGGTCCTCTTGATAATCATGTTTACCCTGCAGCAACTCAGGAGGAAACATCAAGAAAAAAAAAAATCAGAAAAGCCTAGACGGTGGCACAGTCTACAAGACAATTGTCCTGGACTCTTCAAACATGGCAGTGCCATGAAAGAAAAAAACAAGTCATGAGGATCGCTGTGGAGGAAAGGAGACAGGAGAGAGGCAAAAACCAAATGGGGTGGGTCATTCTTGACTGGATTTCAAATCACAGTATTTTTTAAAAAGGCTATAAAGAAAAATCTCAGATGTGGGGAAATTTGACTACAGATTGCTTGGGTGAGCAACGGTGCTATAGTTCTGCAGGGCTTTGCTCATCAAGGTGTACTCCCCATACTGCTGGCCCTGCCATTGCCTGGGAATCTGTAAGAAATGCAGCATCTCAGGCTGTCCTCTAGACCTACTTCAGGTGATATTTATTTTGACAAATGCAGGGGTAGGAAAACCTCCTTAGTTATAGGAGGCACAAGTCTGTCTCAGAAGCCCAGGTGATCCCTGTTTTTGATCCTCATAAGAGAAGGGGTGGGGGGCCTCCCTGGAGGCCTAGGGGTTAAGTCTCAGCATTATCACGCTATCACCGCTTAAGTTCCATCCCCAGCCAGGGAACTAACCCACATGGCGCAGCAGACCTCTCCTGTCTTACCGGCTGCTCCCCTTAGCAGTGTAAATCCAGTAGATCTACCTGTTCTGCTCCCCACTCTGCTCTGGTGAATCCTCTCACCTCCAGCATCTCTGGCCTATACCCCAGTTTTTCTATGCAAAAAAAAAAAAAAAAAAGGAGAATTGGGTGGGAAAGAAAATTATATAAATGTTTACTGTTCTTATAATCTGCTGAGGCAGATTTAAATATTTGTGTTCAATATTTGTATACGAGTGGTTTCATTTATTGTTCCCTCTGCCTAGCCTTCCTTTTCTCACCCCACTTCCCTGGTTAACCCTGCTGTCCCCTCAGTCATTCAACACCGGTCAAATGGCTTTTCCTCAGGCACCTCAGAGACCGACTGTGTTTCTAGCAGGGTAGAGTCGCCACTAAGGGCCACAGGGGTTTTTCTAGGAGGAAAGAAGGAGGAACATTTCCTGTGCCCCACAAGTCCTCGCCCCAGGGCTGGAATCCTCTTTTGGGAAAATGTTTTTGGAGGCCTGCACTGCTCATGTGGTTCATGTTTTCACCTCCACAGTCCTAGAGAAATTCGCACATAGGTCTATTAGAATTTTTCCTGCAGTTTTTTTTTTCTTGCGATATGAGAAGTTAGTGCAAATCCTGGTGTGTGTCGCAGGGAACAGAGACAAGACACATCTGGGTGCGTCCTATGGGCTACTGGGAGCAATGACCCACGGGCCTGGTTGGACCTGCCGCACCTGACTTGGGCAGGACGGTCATGGTTTCTGCCCTCTGTCCTGAGTTAATTATTAGGGGACTCCTCATTCCAAAAAATGCACCACTTTGAATGGTAATGGGTGGTCACTATCACAGGTCAGGCTCCCAAGGTAGGCCAAGCCTGAGTGTGGGTTCTTAAGCGGTTTGCGGGGGAAGTGTTCTTAGGAGGATGTGTTCTCAGGAGGGAGGGAATGAGAGGAGGCAGGAGAGAAAGGCTTAATGAAGATGGGGTCTCAGTCAGAGACTTGCTTCAGTCGGCCCTCAAGTGCAGTTCTGGGGCCCAAACAGACCCTCAGAGCGTGGGTTCCTGAACCTTGTTATCTGTCAGTCACGGGCCAGTGTCTTGGGATCAGGTACTGAGGGTTAGTTTCCCTGCTTTGATCAAAGGCAATTGTCCAGCAAAGCTGGCAGCTGTGCGTGGTTTTTCAGCCAATGCTCACCACAGCTGGGGGATGGGCATACTATGCTTGACAAAGGGGGTCCAGATGGGCCACTGGCTGCCCCTTACCAATGTGTTGAGGTCTTTAAAACATAGAGCTGGGCATTAAGAAAATGTGTGATACGATTTATGTAAATTGAAAGTACCAATCACATAGCAGCTTTGCAAATCAAAGAAGGGTATGGCCTATGGCGGGATAGGTGTGAGAGTGGGAACTGGTAATGACACCAGAAAGTGTATGTCCATGAGTAAAATCAAAAAGGGAGTCTTGTGGGCAACAGTGATGCCAGCCTGCCAGGAGGGCATGAGGAGGGCAAGAGCATTCCTCTGGTCTTGAAAAGATCTTTGAAGACTTCAAGAAAAAGTGGTGACTTCAGAGTTGCCTTTGTTCTCTGCAGGGTTGGGAGCAGAGGCTGGATTGGCAAAGGGAACAGCCCGACAAGAGCCATCTGGCAGAGTCAGTTTCCTTTAGTTTGCAAAGGCTGGAAGCCCAGTTGGAAGCACTTTGGGCCAATGTGGAGGCATGGAGAGGTGGTTGAACTCCAAGGCAGAGCTAAATAACCAGAAGCCTGGACTGGATAGGCAGGGACAGAAGGGACCTCAGTACCCCCTCAGAAACCAGGGCATCTCTGCTGCCAGGACCCCACTCTGCCTCTGCTCTCTGCTTTCTCTTTATTCTCTTTTGCAGCAGACCTGGAGCTACTCAGGTGCCCGTGGGTTAACTCAGCCTCGTGAGCTGAGTTAACATGTTGTGGTTTGTCTCATGAACCCAGAAGCTCCCAGGCTCACGAGCCTCCTTGGCTCAATGTGGCCAGTATGTCCAGTGTCACTGTCAAAAGGCCTCTGGGGTGAGCGAGACTTCCATTATACGAGCTGAGTCTGAGCATTTCTGTAATCTTGGGCCAAGTCATAAGCCAATGAAATGATGGAATGACAGAGCTAGCATCGCA